GACAATGGAGTTGCTGGCGATGTAGATACTGCTGAAGATAGAATTAATGGCGATGAAACAGATTCTATTAATGTCGAAGATGGTGCTAACAATGGAGTTGCTCGCGATGAAACAGATTCTACTAATGACGTAGATGCTGCTGACGATGGAGTTGTTGACGATGGAGCAGATTCTACTAATGACGTAGATACTTCTGACAATAGAGTTCCTGCCGATGAAACAGATTCTACTGATGACGTAGATACTGGTGAAGAAGGAGTTATTGGCGATGGAACAGTTTCTACTAATGACGTAGATGATGCTGACGATGGAGATGCTGGCGATGGAGCTGATTCTACTAATGACGTAGATGCTGCTGACGATAGAATTGCTGGCGATGAAACAGATTCTACTGATAACGTAGATGTTTTTGACAGTGGAGCTGCTGGCTTTGAAACAGATTCTACTGATATCGTAGATATTGATGACGATGGAGTTGCTGGCGATGAAAGAGATTCTACTGATAACGTAGATGCTACTGACGATGGAGTTGCTGGCTTTGAAGCAGATTCTTCTAATGACGTAGATACTGGTGACAATGGAACTGCTGCCTTTGAAAAAGTTTCTACTAATGACGTAGATGCTGCTGACGATGGAGTTGTTGGCTTTGAAACAGATTCTACTAATGATGTATATGCAGCTGACAATGGAGTTGCTGGCTTTGAAACAGATTCTACTGATAACGTAGATATTGGTGACGATGGAGTTACTAACGATGAAAGCGATTCTACTGATAACGTAGATGCTGCTGACAATGAAGTTGCAGACTTTGAAACATATTCTACTAATGACGTAGATACTGGTGGCGATGGGGTTGCTGGCTTTGAAACATATTCTACTGATGACGTAGATACTGGTGACGATGGAGTTGCTGACGATGGAGCAGATTCTACTAATGACGTAGACACTGATGATGATGAAACAGATTCTACTAATGACTTAGATACTGGTGACGATGGAGTTGCTGGCGATGGAGCAGATTCTACTAAAGACGTAGATGCTGCTGACAATGGAGTTGCCGGCTTTGAAACAGATTCTCCTGAAGACTTAGATACTGCTGATGATGGAGTTGCTGGCGATGGAGTAGATTCTAGTAATGAAGTAGTTGCTACTGACGATGGAGTTGCCGGCGATGGAGCAGATTCTAATAATGACGTAGATACTGGTGACGATGGAGTTGCCGGCGATGAAAAAGGTTCTACTAATGACATAGATGCTGCTGTCCCTGGAGTTGTTAGCTTTGAAACAGATTTTACTAATGACGTAGATTCTGCTGATAATGGAGTTGCTGACAATGAAACAGATTCTCCTGATGACGTAGATGCTGCTGACAATGGAATTGCTGCTGATGGAACAGATTCTACTGACGAAATAGATACTACTGACGATGGAATTGCTGGTGATGGAACAGATTCGATTGATGACTTAGATACTACTGACGATGGAATTGCTTGCGATGGATCAGATTCTACTAATGACGTAGATACTACTGACGATGGAATTGCTGGTGATGGAACAGATTCGATTGATGACTTAGATACTACTGACGATGGAATTGCTTGCGATGGATCAGATTCTACTAATGACGTAGATACTACTGACGATGGAATTGCTGG